ATATTCTAAAAGAGTACAGAAGCCCATAATAGCATTGGGTCTTCTGTTTAATTGGCAATGTCAGAAATTATTGACGTGAGTCCCCCACAGGGGCTTGGGATTTTCTTAATTCAATTCAAAGATGACAAGAATTGTGTTTATATGATTGCAGGCAACATCAACAAAAGAAAAGTAATTAAGATACTCAAGAACAAGCAGATTTGAAAGAATGAGACAAAAAGAAATGTGAACAAATAAAACTAATAATAGAGATATTTGATTTTATATAAAAAGGAATATTTTTTGAAAGAAAGCACTTATTTACAGCAATATGGTAGAAATAACTATGTACTGGGTTCTATAATTGTTACTTTTTAATTATTTCCTTTGTTAATAAACACTTATATTTAAAGTTGATTCAGGAACTGGGAAGATAGCTTGGTGGGCTAAGCGCCTGCCTGGCAAGCAAACTGTCTAGGTTCAATCCCTAGTAACACATGCCACACAAGAGATCTATTCATGCACTAGAGACTTAAAGAATCCAGTGGAGTGCCTGGATCCCACAGAAATGTCCAATATGAGCCCAGTTGGGGCCCCAGAATCCATAGCAATGTCTCATGCAAGTCTGTACCAAAGATCTGCATTGGAAAGGTCCAAAGCTCATTAGCGGAAACTAGAAGGTCTGTGACAGTGGGCTGAAGGCTCTGTGCCAGCAGGCTGAGGTACCTGTACTGGAGCCAGAAAGTGATGTGCAAGGTAAGGATCAGGCTCCCCTGAGAAGAACCACAGCCATTCTCAGTGACAGGGAAGATCCCAGTTCCTCCAAGGATGAGAACAGCTGAGTTCATATCAGGAAAGCCAATGTGATAAGCTTTTCCAGGAGAATTCACAGCATACCATCTTCCCTGCCATATTTTATTTTATTTTTTAAAAATGCTTTTGGCAACAATCCTCAGGTGTGCCTTATACTCCCAAAGCCATGCTGATTCAGTTTATCTAGGTACTCCAAGCTGACAATTAGTGAATCCACCACAAACCATTTAGTCTGTTGGTATTTTATCATGGCAACCCAAGCAGAACAAGATACTATGATAATATAGAAATGCAAAGGCT